GAGCGGTTAAATCGTGATGTTGCTGCGCTTCTGCTATTCTCCATACCTTCATTTTCTCAATTATTTATCTCTATTTTGTGCTGTTATTGTTATGGAATGTATTAAAGTCAATAATTAATAATATAATAATAAAATGATTAATAATAATAGTATTACTTTTGATTTAGCTGTTGAATGTTAATTGTAAGTGGATATTTCTCATGAGGCAAGGTAGATTTAAGTCAAATGGGTGAAGATAATAAAACTGTATATGGAGTTTGATTTGATTTGATTTTTTGTTTTAGTTTTTAATTTTATGGTAGGTGTCATGTACTTTTAGGTTTGCGTTCTGAATGGATTTGCTTATTGTGCTCAAGTCATGAGAGAAGCTACATTCTGACTTTGGTGTATTTGAAACACGGTTCATCCGTGCCGTGGTAGATTATTTCTTTTTTTGTTTGTTAAAGGTAAATGAAAAATAAGTGAACAATCCAAAATGAATTTTTGAAGTGTTCGATAATTGTTGTTTGCTCTTCTTGATCTTTTCGAATATGGCTTTAAGTGTTGTGTTGAAGTTTTGGTTAACTGGTGTTTGTTAATTTTCTTTGGTGTGATATACATGGCTTTGACTTTACTAAATTGTTTCCTTTTTCCGTTCACCTGGGAGTGGAGTGGAGTGGAGTGTTGATTCACGCATGACACTCATTTCGTCTTAACAATAACGTAAGCACCCTTTTAATGCCATTTTTTCTTTGTCAGAGAACGGCCATTCTGGTACTGTTTTGGACACTTACAAATGAATTTAGAAGACAAGTTCCTTGCTAAAGGTACGAGCTTCTTTTTTTAGTTGGATCTTTCAGTGGTTACAAGTCGCAACAATTTGTTAACCTTTTCTGTTGTGTTTGTAGTGCTGACTGGTTGAGTGCTATGTGAGGGTTAGTGTAGTTTTCTTATACATTGACGCAAAGGCATGATTTAAAATGCCAACTGAAATTTCACACCGGGAAAGATGCATTCTGTGTGATTTGTCGAATGATTCTGTTATTTACTTATTTTGAGTGTTTTACAACTGATTAGCACACTGCTACATGTTTCAAAATATGTCTAACCATGTAGTCTCTTTTGCTTTCTTCCCTTATAAGGACTAATGTTTATGTACAGTTTCAGTCCACTGTATGGTGTAAATACTGAAAGTGGCTTCTTTGGAAAGCCTTTTGCCTTTGTACCATTATTTCAGTTAGTCACTTTATAGCCTCATGGTTCGTTGCCTCATAACTTTAATGTTGGTGCTTCATCAACTTTTGTTTCCTCTTTTGTTGGTGAAATATATTATAAATATGTGCTTAAAATGGGGTAATAGTCATACAATGATAAAATATACCTTGTACTGTAAATATATATGCTTAAGGTCATATATGCTGCATGGCTATTTTCTTTGACTCCAGGATCAATGCTATATTAGAATAAGCTTGTGAGGTTTAATAAATGCTGGACGCATATGGATATATCAAGTATTTTTCTATTTTCCCTTCTGTATGGTATAGTTTTCGAAAGTAATTGTGGGTATGTATTGCAATGCATAAAGGTATATCTAATTCCCTCTTCCTCTTTTTTGTTAATTGGAATTATATTATACTGAATAAAAAATTATTTGTTTCTTGTTGTATGGCAATGTTTTACTTTGTGACACCTTATTAAGGAAAATAATAATAAAGAATCACGTTGGCATAAGATTTACCCAATTTTTCATCAATAAATTAGGTAAGGCTATGAAGATTGTCTACAAAAACAGTCTGGGATTTTCTTTTAACTCAATGTTTTTCATGTTTTTCCTTTTATGTTTATTCACAATATGAATATCCATTTATTTTTTTCTCTTTAAACCTTGGGTGTGTGGATTTTGATGTATTAATTGTTTTCTGTTTTTATCATACAAAATTATGAAATATTTATGCATTAATGTGTTTTTGTTATGGATAGAGTATCATTAGATAGAATTGAAGTACATATAATCTTCCCAATTTGAACATACATTGTATAATTTGATAGTGTTATAAATGCTAAGAGTTGGGTGTGATTCTTGAATTTAGTCCTCGTATAACTAGCTCCTCAAAAAGTGGTTATGTTGTCCAAATTGTCTTGAGTTACCAAACTTGAAATTATTGGGTATTAAAAGTTTGACGTAATGTAATTTTGGTATTTCTACACCAATTACCTTTAGGATTTTCATTCCTAAATGTACAACTCACTCTACAGAAGATATTTCTTTCTAATTCTCTACTCAAGTAATTCTTTACCAATTATCCAAACACGGATTTTAGCAGAACTGCCAGTGTGTCTAGTGATTATATAATTATACTCCAATATTGATTATTTCTACTATACAGTTTTATGTTTATCTGAAGTAGACTTTTTATAGCACAAATTTAACAGTAACTTTCCCATGGGATACTCGGTTTTTCTTAATTTAGATCATGATCAAAGTATTACATTAATCTGAAATTGATTTGTATTTCTTCATAAGGAAATATACAAGATGAGAATACAATATGCTTTTTGAGCATGAGAAAATATTAATTTTTAATTATATACTTTTTGAGGACCAAATTTTCAAATACCTGGCAGGAAAGATCAAGATAATTAATTATACTTAAATGGTTGGATTGATGAAGAATACATTCCTTAAAAATATTTTGAATGGTGTACGTGTATACAGACTTGCACCAGTGTTAATTGAGATGTGCATAATAAATTAAAATTAAAACTGTAGGTCTTTTGCCTCTGCCTGCATAGAGTCTATATAAAGGGTTATTCCAAACTAATACGTGTATAAAGATTTGCACCAGTGTTAACTGATATGTGCATAATAAATTAAAAAATTATAAACTTTAGGTCTTTCTCCTTTGCCTTCTTAGAGTCTAGCCTTGGATTCCCTTCCATGATTTGCTACATTGTTTGACTGTGGAGATGCTCCTGTAGTGTCAACTCTGTCAAGATACCTCTTTTCTTTTCTTTTTCCATGATCTGGTGCTTGAGGTATTGACTTTCTCAGTCTCAACAGATTCTGTTATATATCCTCTATGTAGTCTTTTAAGTATTTAAATTATATGAGAATGCCTGATGTGTGCATGTATTTTAAGTGTCATGTCCTTTTTGCGTACTGTCAAACTTTTGGTAAGAAGGTCTGATTCCTATGGATTGGAATATAGTTTGGAGATTGTTATGTAGTTTTAACTGACTCAGGATAGCTCAGCTTTTGTCATTCCTATTTAATGATAAAATGTGCATTTCAACCGGAGGAACTGGATTCCTGTTCTTCTGTTCAGTCGTTGTTCATCTTGAACTGAAATAACTAATTACAATTTTTTTTGGGTATGTGTGTTTCTTTCTCTTAAATGATTAATTTTTTTTTCCTGATTTAGTATGGTATTAGCATTTGCTCATAATTTCAACATTGATGTTGATAAGTTTTAATTTCTTTTTTTAAGATGAATGTGGTAATGGATTTGACATGGTTTCCATCCATGCAAGGAGGAAGGCTTTCAAAGACATTGATTGTGTTCTAATTAGGAGTTAACATCAATCTGCTACTTCTTGATCCAATGATAAAGGATTTAAAATACAAGAGTCAGAAAGCTCAACAGCTTTATGTAGCATTATTTGGATAAGATTTGTTAATGTTTTTGAATTTTTGATGGATTTTGCATATGAATTAATGGTTGTCTCCTGAATCAACTCTTCAAAACTTTTAGTTTTTATATTCCTCACACAATTTGGTGCTTCAATTCTTTTTTTATTTTTATTTATTTTTTAAATAGAGTTTATGCTAGTTGCTTTCAACTTGTTCATTCTGTTATGCCTTCTCCCTTGTTCTTGGTTGGTTACAATCTGTAATTACTATTTTGAACAACTTCTTTACATTTTTCTATTGCAATGGAATAGGAAGGGTTCTGGGATACCTTAGTGCATGTGCTCTATCTACTGCTGATTGATGCATGCGTGAGAACTAGGTAGTAACATAACCATGATATGGTTACTTCTGATTGATGCCTATTTTTGATGTTGTAATATGAGGCTTACAAGTGTGGAGATAAAACAGGTATTGGTGTACAGATGTACTAATAATAACAGGTATTAGAGTGAGAATGAGACTGTATGTGCTGAGAGTAGCAACATATGCTCAGATTTGATGATAAATATAAACATTTGGGCCATGATTTTATTTGTGAAAGGAAATCAGGTAGGCTCTGTTGAAGCTGATTTTTAGGGTTAACCAAATCCGAATGTAGTCAATTATAGAAGGGCTGAATTTCCTCTATTCAAGGTTGAACTGCTCTATTATTACCCTTCTGTTCATATTTCTTTGGTGAAAACTGAGTATAGTTTATTGTTCGTTATTGCTCTGGATTAATGTGCTATTTTAGTTATTTCTCCTCAGCTGATCAACATATATACTAGAGTTTAGGTTTTGTTGTTTGCCCTAATTAGATTTTCCATCTGTTTCCACCACCGGATTTCTTTTTGATTGTTATTTCTGTCCAGTTTCTGGAGTTCAAAGCCTTTCATCCAGTGCCCAAAGTACTCCAGAAAAAAATGGCCATTCAGATGATGCTTCAAGAAGTTCAGAACTTCTTCAGGAATTCCTAAAATCTGGTCCTAAGAAGGAACTTCTGCGATCTTGCTTTGACAAGGACAAAAAGAACATTTCTTCAAAAAGCAGGATGACCGAAACTAAGTCATCCAATAAGATTATCAAGAAGCAGGACTCAAAAAAAGTTTCTGTTCTCAGCAATCAACCTTCTAGGAAGCAACATCGCAAAGGAGAAAACCCGGTGCGGTTCGTACCAGCACCTGACCCACCTAGTGATTTTGGACATTCAAACTCCTGGATCTGTAAGAATTCTGCCTGTCGAGCAGTTCTCTCTAAAGATGACACATTTTGTAGAAGGTGCTCTTGCTGTATTTGCCACCTTTTTGACGATAACAAGGATCCTAGTCTTTGGTTGGTATGCACATGTGAATCTGCTCAAGGGGACTCCTGTGGCTTGTCTTGTCATATTGAATGTGCTCTACAACAAGAAAAAGTAGGAGTTGTTGATCATGGACAATTGATGCAACTGGATGGTGGTTATTGTTGTGCTTCCTGTGGTAAAGTTACTGGGATACTTGGGTGAGTAATTTTCTTCACTTGCTGAGTTTCTGGATGTTTTAACACTATTCTTATGTTATTGATACAGTGAGGCTTTGATGAATCTTTCCCATTTGTGTTTATGCAATGAAATATGTATCAGGCTCTATTATGCATATATTGTATGAGAGAATTAAAAAAGAATTTTCCCATGTTTCCTGCCTCTCCTGTCCATATTTCACTTACATGACATGCATGCAACAATGAAGCAAACTTCATTTCCAAGAGAAATGAATTCCATTATGGCCTTTCTCTTTCAGTTCCTTTAATCTTATTGTGAAATAGAATATTGGGGCTATATAATACGTTTGCATCACTTTCAACTTGTGTTCATGACTAAAATTTTAGCCTATGTGGATGATGTTGGTGACTCATGTTTAATTCTGGCAGATGTTGGAAGAAGCAGCTAAATATAGCTAAAGATGCCCGGCGAGTAGATGTACTATGTTACAGGATATATTTGAGCTACAGGCTTTTGGATGGAACTTCGAGATTTAAAGAATTGCATGAAATGGTAAAAGAGGCAAAGGCTAAACTAGAAACTGAAGTTGGTCCAGTTAACGGGGTTTCTTCCAAGATGGCACGTGGCATTGTCAGCAGACTCCCTATTGCCAGTGATGTGCAGAAACTCTGCTCTCTTGCTATTGAAAAAGCTGATGAGTGGTTGGCCACTGTTCCCAATATAAATCCAGAATCCAGAGGTTGGAACTATTTTTTACTTTCTTTCTTTTAATACCTTAATTCTTTAAGTTTAATGGTCATGTACCGACAATGTAAAATAGTTTTATGTTGTTTACCCATTAGAATTATCAAATATCACCGTTAGTACGAGCTTTTATTTATTTATTATAAAAGTTGACAACTTACAATGGTGATTTGTGATTGGATGATAGTGTAAAATTATTTTACATTGTTAGTGCATCACCTGTTTTCTCTAATTCTTTTTGCTTGTCAAGCAATTTGATTTATATGATATATATGATGAATATTACCTTGCAGAGGGTTCACTTCCTGCAGCCTGCAAGTGTGTGTTTGAAGAGGTAACAGCTTCCTCAGTCAAAATCATTTTATTTGAAATTTCAAATGCATCTTCTGTAGACATTAAGGGATACAAGCTCTGGTATTATAAGAGCAGGGAGGAATCACACACTAAAGATCCTGTTTGTGTGTTTCCCAAAGCTCAGAGAAGGATTTTGATATCCAACCTTCAGCCTTGCACACAATATACGTTTCGAATCGTATCTTTTACGGATAAGGGTGACCTGGGTCATTCTGAGGCTAAGTGTTTCACCAAGAGCATTGAGATATTGGAAAAGAATTCATCTTCATCAGTTGCCATGAATCATAAAAAGGAGAACCTTCAAATTGAATGCAATTCTTCTGGCTCCAAAATGGAGCCCAATCCCACCTCGGCTGACTCTGGATTTAAGGTTCGAGACCTTGGCAAAATCCTGCATCTTACTTGGGCTCAAGAACAAGGTTGCTTTGAGGGGTTTTGCTGTGCTGGCAATAGAAATTGCTGTGGTCAAAGTGAAATGATCAAGCCTAGTAATCCACAAGAGCAGTTGCCTTTGGTTTCACGTGGTCTTGATCTAAATGTTGTTTCGGTGCCTGATTTAAATGAAGAACTTACGCCTCCATTTGAGTCTTCCAGGGACGAAGACAATGGTTGCACTTTGCAGCAGGCTGTTGAGGCAGATGATGATGCTGCTTCTCATGATTTGGAGAAAAACTTGGCAAGATCACACGGCAGTGGTGGTTCCCAAACATGGAACCATGGACCAACAGGAGAGGTTCCAGCTGTTGACTCGCGTGGAGATGCATGTAGGAAAAGGATGGCAAGCACAAATGAAGAGACACATGATTGTGACAGCACTTTGATAAATGGTTCTCCTTTGCGTGCATCTGATGGTCCATTCTCCTTAGATGAGAACTTTGAGTATTGTGTCAAAGTCATTCGTTGGCTAGAATGCCAGGGTCATATCAAGCAAGAATTTAGGCTGAAGTTGCTGACATGGTTTAGTTTGAGGTCGACCGAGCAAGAACGTAGGGTGGTAAATACTTTCATTCAAACTCTTATTGATGATCCAAGTAGCTTGGCAGGGCAACTAGTTGACTCATTTTCTGATATTATATCCAACAAGAGGCCAAGAAATGGTTTCTGCAATAAGGCTGTGTCATCAAGTTAAGGGTGTGGAATCCTGTTACACAAGATCCTCTTTGCTTCAAGACTACAAATCACCCTGATTGATTGTTTCTGCCTTCCTTGTACATGCATTTTTTATTACTCACCGTGATTCATTTTATTGGGACAAGTTTTTGTCCTGCTAAAAGGATTTGCATTGATGATTATTGATTGTGCAGACAGCAAGTAACTCTATTTATCCTTGAAGGGAAGAAGGATCTTTGCACAAGTCTCAGGATGTTGAAGGCAATTCGCTATTTTACTAAATTACTGCAATTGTTTATCAATCATGAATTTAATCACGTTAGATATTATTATTCTTGAACTTTCATTTCACAGCAACATTTGTGATGGCTGATTTCATTCATCCCATCATTCTTTTGTTATCTTTGATGTTTTTTCAACTCACTTCTAGGCTTGACTCTACTTCTACTATGGTTATCTTGATGTGGTTCTGTACTATGTAACCTAAGTGCTGATGCTGATGCTCTCTCATGGTTAGTTATCATTTGTAGGGTGTTGTAGGTCTGAAGTCACCATGAATAGTAAGCAGTAATTCATCTAAGCTGTTGCCACAATGGATAACATTGTTGTTGTATCGTTCTTGGCCATCATGTTAAGATTTTTCTTGGTCACCATGTTAAGGTTAAGGACACGATTCTAATGTTGCAACTACTTTTTAATTGAAACTTGAGAGTAAATGAAAAAAAAAAAAAAGCATCATCATATGTATAATGAAGTGACTAGATGAATCTTTTAGTTGATTTTTCTTTAAAAATGAATCATGTTTATCTTTTATTTCAAGTTCATTTAAAAAAAAAAAAAACTAACTATTCATGTATTTCTTAACGATTTAAATATATTTTTCTTTTTTTGCTCGATATTTTACTTGATTTTTAAACACTTTGTAGCAAGCGCATTTGTACACACGATCTAACAATGAGGTTAAGCTCTTACAATACATGATCACTGGTTGGTTTAGGGAATGAAGTTTATGAGGGTTAAAACAAATTGATTTAACTTTGTTTTAGCAATCATAATTTGAAAAGTGAAATTGATTTAAATATTTTAAAAATCTGATAATTTAATAGATTTTGTGCTTTCTATTAATATTAAATATTATTTTCAATTATTTTTTATATCAAATGGTTACAGCGAGATTAAAACATAGTTTAATGATTCATTAATTTCATATCTTTTTTAGTCTTGGTCCTGATACGAATATTTCTTAGCTCACTCAATCAGATTAATCTCGCAATAATGTGATTAACACTAGTTCAAAGGATTTTAGCATATGGTGAAGAAAGGATTTTTGTATACGGTGTGGATAGGGATGGCAACGGGGCGGGGCGGGTACGGGTTTCATGATACCCGTCCCCGTCCCTGCAAGTAAAACTCATCCCCATCCCCGTCCCCATACCCGTCGGGTATGGATTTTCATCCCCATCCCCATCCCCGTCGGGTATCGGGTATACCCGTACCCGTACCCGTACCCGTCAATTTTTTTATTTTTTATTTTCTTTTTAAAAATAATATTTTTAAATTATTTTTTTTTATTATATTATAATTATAATTAGGTTATTTTTTATCTCACATTATAATAAATAATCATACATAAAAAAAATATTAAATTTTTTTAATATAATTAAATTAAAAGTGAATATTAAATTAAAAATGAGAACGGGGACGGGTACGGGTACGGGGCGGGTAAGTACATACCCATACCCGTACCCGTACCCGATTCAATATATCGGGTTTTACCCGTACCCGTACCCGTACCCGGTCAAACCGGGTATTTCCCATCAAAGTCGGGACGGGTTCGGGTATTACCCACGGGTACGGGTATATTTGCCATCCCTAGGTGTGGATTGAATAAGAGATTCTCCGCTAAATGACATATTAGATAGGGTTTCAAAAATAATTATACCTTATTTAAATTTGTGTATTATTTTTTTTTATTATGTTTAAACTATATTTTAAATTAGCTTAAACGGTCTAATATATCATAGTTTTTTTAAGACATAATCACATTTGTGTATCGTACGGGTTACTATATTAGTAAGTTTAGGCATAAAACTCATATAATTGAGCACTAATAACTATTTTATTCTTATTTTGAAATATAATCACATATGTGCATCCCAAAGTTGTATATTAAATATTATGTGATAATATGTTAAAATTGCTTTAGTAATTGATAGTGTTTTTTTTTTAATGACTAGTGATCGGTAATTGACATATGTAGCTCATAATTAATTCTTATATATACATTTACTCTCTCCACGATTCACCATCTGTGTATCGCACATCTACACTATATACTAATTTTATAAATAAATTTACTCTCTTTACAATTCATTCGTGTATCACATTCACGTGTACACCATATATTACTCATTAAAACTAAAGTTATTGTGAATTATTAGATGAAATTAATTATTAATATTTTTTTGAATAAAATTGTCTATAAAATCCCAAATGAAAAATTGATACATTCCAGCAAGTTGTTTTTTTAATAAAAAAATAAAACTAATATATTTAAGAGAATCAAATCAAAAAATAAAACCATTCATTAGACATATCTTCACACATTATAGCCATTTACTAAAATTAAACATGTATTTATTATCAAAATAATTTATAATCCTTAACCTATATAAAGAATCTGATTAAGAAAAAACCATATAAAGAAAATATAAATGTTCATTTATCATGCATATAGAGAGCATATTCTCTTAGAAATAGCCGTTAACCCTTCGATTGAGAAAGAGAGTAACCGCTGTTATTAGTTTTAATTAAATTAACGGTTTTTCATTTTTATAAACGATCACACGTGCAAACTTAACTGTCAGACCAAACAGTTCCTTAGAATCTTTTAAAACTGAATTTTCTCGTCAATTTTGTTAGCATTGTGATTTTCTATCAAGTCTCGTGCTTTTTGTTAATTTTTTTTTATTTGTTATTTAATAGAGGTAGTAAATTAAATCCAATCTTATCTATACTTATTATTTCTATCTATATTAGATATTTTTTTTAATAACCACCCTGATTTTTATATATATTTTTACCATTCTACCATTCTATTTTATATATTAATATCTTTTAGCATTCTATTTTTGTTAATTTTTTTTATTTTTATTTGATAAAGGTTTGATACAATGCAAGTAAGAACTTAAAACTAATAGATTAATCATAATTCTAATTAGATCAATATATTTTTATTATTTAATTTTTATTTTATTTTTAATCGAGGTACGAACTCAACCCCACTAGTCTATTATAAAAGGATATTTTTTTTATATATAACCATTTTTAAATTTATATCTCTCAAATATAAAAAAAAAATAAACTTCTTATATCTTCTTTTAATAATTACATATAACCTTATAATATTCTATTTATTTATAATTATTAGAGATACGTAATATCTCAACCCCTCTAATTTTCATAATACGTAAACACCATAAATATAAAATATCAAAGGCGTAGAGTGTAGACAAGGGATACAAAATTTAAATTTCATATGTAAATCTTTTCAATTTCATGCTGCTACAAACTGTAATCAACAAAGCAATTATGTATCCTCTTTCATAACTGACAAGTTTTTTTTTTTTTTTTCCTTCATCACCAAACTTGCATTGTCATATAAGGCCTCACATCCTTTTCCTTTTTGAAATTCTGAAGAAACATACTGTTTGAGTTGTTGATTAATACATTAACACTTTTGTGCCTCACATCCCTGTCTTTTGAAATTCTGAGGAAATATACTCTTTGAGTTGTTCATCAACACCGTTGTGATTGTATGCTTTCCCTTTGGTTTTATTCTGTATGCCATTTGTTCATGTTATATTTATATATTTGCGAATTGTGATCGATTTAATTGTATTCTATGTTCACTTTTGCAGATTAGACAATGGCAAACCAAAACCAAAAACAAAACCAAAACCAGAACCAAAAACAAAACCAAAACCCAAACCAGAACCAAAAACAAAACCAAAACCAGAACCAGAACCAGAACCAGAACCAAAAACAAAACCAAAATCAAAAGAAGGAGAAAGAGGATTTCTCTCTGAAGGCGACAACTCCAAACATCAGTGCTGGAAGAGTGATCAGTGGTGATAGACTCCCCACCGCATATGGCCTGGTTGAGCAAATGCAGTTTCTGTTTGCCAGGGTGGTGAAGGCCAAAGACTTGCCTGGAGATTGTGCTTATGTGGAGGCAAAGCTTGGAAGCTTTGTAGGAACAACCAGATGCTTGAAAACCACTACCCCAGAATGGAACCAAGTCTTTGCTTTTGCCAAGGAGAGAATTCAAGTACTAGTTCTAGATATTGAGGTGAAGAACAAGAAGGAAAATGGTGACTCTAAATGTAATGAGTTCATGGGGCGTGTTTTATTCACAATTGGTGATATTCCCATGAGGGTTCCTCCTGATAGCCCCTTGGCACCACAATGGTACAGGCTTGAGAATCAAAAGGGGGAGAAGGTTAAAGGAGAGTTGATGGTGTCTGTTTGGATGGGAACTCAAGCAGATGAAAGTTTTCCTGAGGCTTGGCATTCAGATACAGCAGAGGGTAGTGGTGAAAACATTGCTCACACGCGTTCAAAGGTATATATTTCTCCTAGGCTTTGGTACCTTAGAGTTAATGTCATTCAGGCTCAGGATTTGTTGCTCAAAGGTAAGCCTAATAACTCGGAAATTTTCATCCAAGGTGTTTTGGGGAACTTGGCTTTGAGGAGTCGTCCCATGAAAAGTGATCCAAACCCCATGTGGAATGAGGATTTGATGTTTGTTGTAGCAGAACCCTTTGAAGATTCCCTGTTCGTGAGCATTGAGCAGGGGGCTCCCACCAAGCATGAAAGCTTGGGATGTTGTGTGGTTCCTTTGAAGACTGTGCAGCAGAGAATTGATGCCACTCCACCAGCTAGTGTATGGTACAACCTTCAGAAGCCAAAGGTAAATGAGGAGGAAAAAGAGGGTAACTTTTCTAGTAAACTTAACATGAGGATCTCTTTGGATGGAGGGTACCATGTTCTTGATGAGGCCACTCACTACACTAGTGATATCAGGCCATCATCAAGGTTTTTGTGCAAACCAAGTATTGGTGTTCTAGAATTGGGGATCTTGAATGCCGTGGGGCTCTCTACAATGAAGAAGGATTTCCGCACCGATGCCTTTTGTGTAGCTAAGTATGGTCCCAAGTGGGTGAGGACAAGGACTATTGTGAATAGTCTTTCTCCAAAGTGGAATGAGCAGTACACATGGGAAGTGTATGATCCTTGCACTGTGATCACAATTGCTGTGTTTGATAATGGGAATTTGCAAGGAGGAAAAAAAGACGGAGGGAACAAAGATGATGGAGAAGTGGATAAGAGTAATGAAAAATTGGATGGAGAAAAAAATGCTGGAGGAAAAAAACCTGATGGACTAGTGGATAAGAGAATTGGTAAGGTACGGATTCGGCTATCCACACTAGAAAGTAATAGGATTTACACTCACTCTTATCCTCTTATAAACTTGCAAACAGGAGGAGCCAAGAAGATGGGAGAAATTCAATTGGCAGTGAGGTTTTCTTGTCCATCTTTGTTCAATGTTATGCAAACTTATGCACAACCTTTGCTTCCAGAAATACACTACATTAGCCCTTTGTCTATCTTTCAGTTGGATAGTTTGAGGAACCAAGCTGCTAACATCACCACATTGAGGTTCAAAAGGGCTGAACCACCCCTCAGTAAAGAGGTTGTAGAGTACATGCTAGACATGGGGGCAAATGTGTGGAGCATGAGGAGGGGAAAGACTCTATTTTATAGGGTTGCTGGTCTTTTGAGTGTTCTAGTTTTTGTTGCAAAACAGTTTGATCAGATACATTCTTGGAAGAATTCAGTCACCACAGTGTTTAGTTACTTCATGTTTCTCTTTGTTATTTTCTTTCCAAGAATAATTTTGCCATCAACATTTTCCTTGCTCCTCTTGATTGGAATTTGGCGCTATAGAACAAGGCCAAGATATCCTTCCCATGTGGATATGAAACTGTCTCAGGTTGATGGAGCCACTGCTGAAGATCTAGAAGAAGAGTTTGATCCATTTCCATCTAAATTTAATGGTGATAATTTGAAGAAGAGGTATGATAGATTAAGAGGCCTAGCAGGGAGGGTGCTAGAAGTGATGAGTGACTTGGCAACTCAAGGAGAGAGGGTGCAGTCTCTACTCAGCTGGAGGGACCCAAGAGCAACAGCTTTGTTTGTTATTTTCTGTTTTGTGGCTGTCTTTGTCACTTATTTTGTTCCTTTTCGCATTATGATGTTCATTTGGGTCACTTATGTGTTAAGACCTCCAAGGTTTCGGTTTCATTTGCCTGCAGTCCCTCAAAACTTCCTTAGGAGGATGCCTGCAAAATCAGATGGCATGCTATGAGTTGGCTTCTCTTCATTTGTTTCTTGTCATTGGAAAATAAATTCGCTTTCTTCTTCATTTTAAGTTAGGTGGAAAATATGTTTAGTAATTACTTGAGTGTTTCAGAAATTATTTTGTTATTTAAATATACCAACCAGTTTTATCTGTAGTCTAATGAAATTGAGTACTTTTCAAAGTACTATACTTTTATTCTTTCTTTGATTTACTTAAAGAAGGGTTGCGACTTGGATATTCAGCAGTATCTAAATTGCGCCTTTGTTTTTATGCTTTTTTACCTGATAAGGACTGATTAGTATGCACAGTTTCAGTCCACAGTATGGTTCAAATATTGAAAATGAATTTTTTTGCAAAGCCATCTGTCCTTGTACATATTCACTTATCCTAACATGGTGTGGTATGGTTGACTATTGTTTCTTAAACATGTAGTTAGAGATTCAATTCTTAAATAAATTTAAATACTTTGAGAGATTAGTCTTCAATTTTCGAATGAGAGATATCTTTGTTCAATGAAAATAAAAAAATTCACTTAATGACTTTACCTTGAGCTCATGAGAGGTTGGTTAACGTGTTACCAAATCCTATCAGTATAAATATGATGACATTGAGCATAACTTCACACTGCTATATTTGGATGAAATGACTAGAGTTTCACATAGGTTGAGTTCGTGAGAGTGGGATACAATTCTCTTTTTTAACCATTGAGTGGTACATGAATGGATGCCTGTTGTAGGCTCAGGTAGAATTGGGATTCTTTTAACAGGACCACTTTTTTTTCCCTGTTATGTTTATTCACAATGTGAATATCCATTTTATTTTTCCCCGTTAAACGTTGGGGATGCGAATTTTGAAGTACCAACGACTTTCTGTTTATCATATGAAATTATGAAATATTAATGCATTTATGTGTGTATCTGTTATGGATCGAGTATAATTAGATAGAATTGAAGCACATATAATCTTCCCAATTAAAACATACATCGTAGAATTTGATGGTGTTATATATGCTAAGAAGCGTGATTATTGAATTTAGTCCTCAAAATGTGATGGGTTCACTTTTTAAATCGTTAAATGACTAATCAGATTTACTAAAATATGTGATATTTAGATACTAATAGAAAAGAATAAATATTAGAGAAAGTGTTTATGGTATTTCTAAAAAAGAAAAGAAAAGAAATGAAAAATCCCACATTTAGATAATTCGGACCAGCCATGGCCCATGGGCCTAGCCCATAGACCAACAGCAAATGCTAAACCAATTTCGCATTTTGTATATATATAATATTTTTGGCTGAGAAAACAGATTGAATTTCAATTTCAATTTTGCAAAATAAAATAAAAGAAATGTTATATAATAGTAGCAACTAGCAACTGAAACATGAGGTTCACAAACTGTCACTTACCTCAATCTATCTCTCCCTCACTCACATACACAATGCAAGTTCTTCATGCTCCATCTTCTCCACACCTTTCTATCCAAAGCTCAAAAGCACCACAACTAACATGGGGTGTGCCACTGATTCTTCACATACACCACACTGTAACACCCCTTTCACATCATATCATGCTCATCACACCTTCTTTCTTTCTTTCTTCTTGCAGGTTTGCTTCCTTCTGTGAGTGTAAATTCTTCACCTTTTTCCACCCTTCATTTTTCTCTTCACTCCCAAAGGATCCATCGTTTACTTTGGACCCCCCATAAAAGGGTCACCTCCAGAGCTGCTTCTGTTGAAGGTAAATTTGATTCCTTTTCTGTGCATGGAAGGTGCTTAATTATGCTCATTCACCTCAAATGTGTGCAGAAGTTTTGAAATTTACTTGAAGTTTTTTGGACAAGGATGTGGGCATAATGAATATCATTGTGGTTATGGATTTAGAGAGTATGGATAATGGAAATGTTATCAAATCCTATCAGGATTGATGTGACAATTGAGAAGCAGAACTTCACGCTTCTATATTGAGGGTGAAATGGCTCTAGATTCACATAATTATTTTGTCAATAAATGTAGTTTTTTTCTTCTGCTGGTTGTGTACATATGAGTGGTTGGAGAAAGCTGGCAGCATAAGATAAAAAAAAAAATTAATTTACTGCCATCGTAGAGGAATTAAAATAGGATGTTTGTCGGAGGATGAAGCTTGAGATTTAAGCTTACTTTTGTAGGTGGGGACAGCAGAAATTATCGATATTCTTTCACCCCATGGTGTTGTTTTTAGAGATGATTGTTAAACCATGTCAATATTAGTATTTCATGTTGTGAATTATAATTTGTTTCTGAAATGGGTATTTTCAACCAGATAATAAAGTTGGGGATCAGGTTGGGAGTTCAATGTAAATGCCCCTACCAATGGCAGATTTGGCTGGTGAGACAATTTTTAACCAAAAATATAATGAATAAATAAATGAAAAAAAAAATAAAATATATATATATATATATATATATATATATATATTTATGAAAAGCCACCCCGAATTGTCTTTGCATTAATTCATGATATCTTAGGTGACATCTGATGAAGACTTTTTTTCTTTTGTGCGCGCACGTATGTATAAGTTTTTCAATTTTTATATCTTTCATATGAATAAAATTCAGAAACTTATGGCTGTAATCGAGGATAGGCATAAAATATTTTAGATTGAATTTCAAAAGGATCTTTTTTTTTGTGGAGCACTTCATCAGTTTATATTCACATTCAGCAAGTGATTTAGACTATTGATTTTTGAATGCATAGAAGATTAGGACCAGTGAGATTGAGTATCAAATGTTATAAGGATGTGTCCATGGAAGTCATGTCAGTCAGGTGATAGATTATAAGGAATATACACGCATGAAGTTGTTCACAGCCTAATGACTCATGTATTTGGTTGAAGATGATGGCAGATGTATACTGGAAAAGTTTGAAGATTTCCATGCATAAAATTTGTCATAAAAAGTAACATCTCTTAAATTGTTTAGCCACCAGATAACCAAGAAATGGTCTATTATGGAATATACTTTTAGTTGCTTCTTGCCTTAATTATTTGGATTTTCACATATGCAGTTGGCGATTCTTCAGTACCAACTGGAATGGCTGAGGATGATGTGTTGAAAGCCTTGTCTCAGATCATTGATCCTGACTTTGGAACAGATATTGTTACTTGTGGATTTGTTAAAGATCTGCAGATTGATAAAGCTCTAGGAGAGGTCTTAAAAGCACTCGCCTGAAACTTTCTGCAACACACATGTAAATGATAATGTTCTTACTAAAAGTTTTTCCTTTGAATCTCAGGTATCGTTTCGGTTAGAGCTCACCACACCAGCATGTCCAATCAAGGACGTGGTAAATGACACAATTGCCATTGTTTGAGATATATCTGATGTAGGTTAGCTATATCTGACGTAGCAGGGATAACAAATGAAATATTGCATCTATCTTCCATTTTACCATCCCTAAATCTGATGTGTTGTTGAGACAATAAATGAATATATATGCATGACAGTTTGAGCAGAAGGCAAATGAAGTGGTGGCAATGCTCCCTTGGGTCAAGAATGTAAAAGTTACAATGTCTGCACAACCAGCAAGACCTATATATGCTGAGCAACTTCCAGCAGGTCTACAAACAATTTCAAATATTGTGGCTGTGTCCAGTTGCAAGGTTGATCTTTGTGGGAGGTTTTTCTTCATCATATGTTGTCCATGTTATATCAAGTTATTTTCCATAATTTGGGGTGCTTTCTTTGCCATGTTTTTTTTTCTCAAATTTGTCCCTTATTTCCCTGAGTATTTCTGGGATCCAAATGAGTTACATAGAACTTTTATTTTAATAATGTATGGTAGTATTATATATAACACCCGGAAATTTCTCTAATTTTTAATGGAACATAAGCCAAATGCTGCTCTTCCATGCTGAAATAAAAGTATTTTTGCTTTATTTTCTATTAAAGGCATTTAAGAATACTTTTGAAAAATATTGTTTCAACTACGGTTTGAAGCCAAAAAAATTTGCTCGGTAGAATTGAACCAATCTATTTACCATGATTTGCATTTCATGTCATGAATGCCTTCTATGTCAAATTTTGCAGGGGGGTGTGGGAAAATCAACTGTAGCAGTAAACCTTGCTTACACTTTGGCTGATATGGGTGCTAGAGTTGGCATATTTGATGCTGATGTTTATGGTCCAAGCTTACCAACTATGGTCTCTCCTGAAAACCGACTATTAGTAATGGTAAGATTTGATAAACCAATTTATTTTCAATATTTAGTTGAGTACTGCAAACATAATTGATCAGAGCCTTGCTGCAGAATCCAGAGAAGAAGACCATAATTCCAACTGAATACATGGGAGTGAAGTTGATCTCTTTTGGATTTGCAGGACAAGGACGTGCAATAATGCGCGGCCCCATGGTTTCTGGAGTCATTAATCAACTTCTGACTACTACTGAGTGGTACGCATTTCTGAAAAGCATTTAAATAAAAATATTAAGGAGGGAGTAGAGGAAAAAAATATGTGCTATATTGGCTTAACAAACCACATCTTCTATAGGATTTTGCATTGTACTAATTATTGTCCAAGTCACCTTGTGGGATAAGGCTTTTGTTGAGGCTGACTTTTTTATAGTATTCTAGTCTATTGGTCCACCCCAGGCATGTATTAGAGTTAAAATATTACATTCATACAGTAATCTATACTTTAGTCCTCTCCAAAAATTAGATTGAAGATCAAATGGGTTCATCTTGATATATAGTCCTGATTTGCTATACAATGTAGGGGTGAGCTGGATTACCTCATTATTGACATGCCTCCTGGAACTGGAGATATTCAACTCACATTATGCCAGGTTCTGGGCTGGCGGACAAATATTGTTCTAATTTCTACTTCTTTTATTCCTCTAGCTTGTTTCACATCACATTTTGACTGCTGTGATAGGACTGGAATTGTACCTGCTTGATCCCATTTGGTCAGTAATCTAATCAGAACATCCAAATGTGACCGAGCTGGCCAGATTTCAGTGCAAAGGTGATCAAGGTGGCTCAAATTTCAGCTAAATATTAGTGCTAGGCCTGTCCAATTACTTCTGCGCTAGTATTTAGCTAAAATCTGGCCCAGTTTGATCTCATTGAACTTAGGAAGCCTGTATAGATATCCTTTAATTGTTTGCCATTGTCTTTTTAGTTGCCCATTTTGATTTGACTTTGGTTGCATATTTCTTTAGGTAGTACCATTAACTGCTGCTGTAATTGTTACCACTCCTCAAAAGCTGTCGTTCATTGATGTTGCAAAAGGAGTTCGGATGTTTTCAAAACTTAAGGTGGCTCTTCTATAATTTGAAGAAACAACTATTCCATTTTATTTTTTCGATCCCATGCTTGTGTTTTGCACTTTTTTATCCTTCCTCTGTTTGGTAAATTTTCTTTTAAAAAAGAAGTTTGCAAAATTATTTGCAGACTATAATTTAAGTATACTTTTTTTTAATACTATTTTCATTTGATACTTATATATATTATTTTTCCTGTTAATTTATAAGGTACCTTGTGTTGCTGTTGTGGAGAACATGTGTCATTTTGATGCTGAAGGAAAACGATATTACCCATTTGGCAGGGGTTCAGGTTCTCAGGCATGAATAGTCTTTGTTAGCTTTTTATCTTTTTTGTCATATTTAAGGGAAAAAAATTATAGACAAATTTTTTATACTTGATATAAAACAATTCTGTACTGTCTGTGGCATGTGTTTAATAGTTTGATTATGCTTGCAGGTTGTTCAGCAGTTTGGAATACCTCATCTATTTGATCTCCCTATTAGACCAACTGTATGTCTCATTTTACTCTATCTTATATACTTCAAACCTTTCTGTTCTTTTCTCACATCTTTCATACTACCAGCAAAATTTATCCTTAACCTTCCACAGTTTAAAGACTTATAGGATTTGAAGACAACACTCCATTAAAAACTTCCAATCATGCACGGTACAGTGGATACAGCGCTTAATCACAATATTGAATAAAATCTGCCACCTGAAACAGCATAATTGTTATTTGCCCTCCTTAAAATACTGGGAACCTGAAAGAACATGTAAAGTCTTTCAAATGATCTTCCTCCATAAAGTTCATTTTTTTATCAGCTATTTTACAACAGCATTCTCATGTTTCAGAAAAATTCCAAACTTCTATCCTTTATCTTTGCAATATATAACACCTCCATTCTGGTAACCACGCCACCTTTACCATGGCAAAGAAGCAATTTTTTTTCCTCTATCAACATGTGAGTAGGAATAAGGACACAAATTATGTTAGCACTTAGCAAACTAAAGGGAATTTTAGAACAAGTATAGCTTCTGTAGACAAATACTATAACTTGTGATCCTTGTTAGCAAACACATGCTTACTGGACAAGAATCGGCCTTACAATGTTGTAGTGTGATGCTGGTTATTTATTTCCAAATTTTCTCATATAGAAAATGTATCTGATCTATATTCTCTCACATCTATACTTTCCCTCCATAACTAGCTTTCCCTATCCACTCATGTGTTTCCCTCCTAGTTATAATTAAACTTGTGCTGTCTTAGGCCTAAAGGTATAAACTTGTGTGCCCGTCTTTTTATTCGACCCATCCTGAACTGTGTTTGGATCCATTGTTCTCTGAAATTCGTGAAACTAAAATCCTAACTTGATAATGACATTAACAGTGGTGTCATACATGGTACCTAGAAATATGATTGTTGAGGAACAAACCAAGAAAAGGGAAAAGTTGATATATTTTGATTGCTTGTCAAAAAACATAATTACTTTTATTTTCTTAAAATATTAAGTAAAAGTTAATTCAACTTTAAAGTAAAGAAGTACTTATCTTGAGTTTAAAAAAAAAAAAAAAAAAAAACTTGCCTTCTTTGTTTCCTTTCTTTCTCTTCTCCATTAAAAACATCTAACAGTTTTACTGGCATAAAGTTTATGATTTGGCATATCCAAACTCCAAAACGTAGTCCATCCTGATATAAGCTGTGCTCAAATTACATGCAGAAGAGAGGAAAATTATAAAATTTGATACTCATCCGGATCTTTCAAGGCTTTGTGTTTGATATGCTTTGACAATAGTAAATCACCAGAAATAGGTTCGCATGTCCTTGCTGGCTTGTAAATTTTATGGGAGCACTGTTTGGTGACACATTAATTATACAGTTCACACTGAGTTTGTTTAGTTCTTGAAAGATATTTTGTTTACATATCTCTCAAGCCCTCAATATTCTTGCTGTATTCCTTAATGCAATTTAAGATTTGAAACAAATGAGGTTTATTTGAATAATCGTCACAGCTCTCTGCTTCTGGAGACAGTGGAATGCCGGAAGTGGTGGCTGATCCTCAAGGTGAAGTTTCCAAGATATTCCAAAATCTAGGAGTATGCGTGGTTCAGCGGTGTGCCAAAATACGCCAACAAGGTATTCTATTCCTGCTTGACGATGTTTGAGAAGAAAATGCCTGTTACCAAGTCTATTAATAAAAAGATACTTAAGCTAGTTCTTCACTTGTAGGTGTGGCCGAGTTCAGCAGTGTGCCAAAATACGCCAACAAGGTATTCTATTCCTGCTTGACGATGTTTGAGAAGAAAATGCCTGTTACCAAGTCTATTAATAAAAAGATACTTAAGCTAGTTCTTCACTTGTAGGTGTGGTAATTGAAATCTTTAGTCCCTTTTCTCTTGTAGTTGTTAATCAATGTTTAGTCCCACTAGTGTATTTTATACTTCTAAGAGAAACAATATGCAGTTTTTCCTTTAAATATGCATTAACTATATACATTATTAAACTCAACAATTATGCACTAACAAGTCGTTGATCTGAGTATAATTGAACTTAGTCCCCTTCAGTAAGTTCTCGGATTCAAGTCTTGTGGATTAAATAAATGTGGTTGAAAGAAGAGAGAGAGTCACTAAAAGTGACTAGTTATGTTCCACCCAACAAAGATTAGTCATTAAAAAAGTCGCTTAACAACTATGCCATGTTATAGGTGGTAATTGGGAAAGTTCCTTGCAAAGGACTGACTAATGCTATAAACCAACCCTACCCAACCTTGTTTTATATGGTTTGGGTTTATCAGTTCATGAGTTTTAGCTTGGATGGTTGAGTTAGAGAATATAAAAAAGTTGTTGGGTTAAGTTTGGGTTGTGCTTCAACCGTAACTAATCAAGTCAATGTATGTTGGAAAATCTTAAATTTCTAGAGATTCCGAGATATCCGAGATATCCGAGATATCCGATTTAAGTTATCTGGAATTATTTGATTTATCTTTTGAGTTATTTTGTTTCAGATTAGATAAGATAGTTTTTTGATAAGTTTTGATTTGATAAGATATTTTATTATCTTCTTGTTAGTTCAGTACGTTGTAAAATGGCTATTTAAAGGCCATCTCTTATTCAATAAAAAACACAGTGAGTTGCTACGTTCACCCACAACATTAGTATTACCTCGTCTCTCTTATTTTTTTCTACAAATTGGTATCAGAGCTTTATGCTCTGAGTGCCGAGTGTGAGAGGAAAACAGTGTGCGCCTGTGAAGGGGAAGAAAGAAGAAAGAGAGAGTAATGGCAAAGGTTGTTAATGGAATGACCGTACCACAACTGTCAAAGAAAACCAATTATGATAATTGGTGTTTACAGATGAAGACCCTGTTGGGTTCCCAAAGTCTATGGGACATAGTGGAGAAGGGGTTCCAAGAACCCGAGGAGGACGAAGACCAATCTGTGGCTCAGATTGCCGCATTGGAAAAGACACGAGTGAAGGACAAATCGGCTTTGTATTTTTTGTACAATGCCGTGGATGAGTCAGGTTTCGAGAAGATTGCAAACGCTGCATCTTCAAAGGAAGCATGGAAGATCTTAGAGGTTGCGCACAGAGGTAACCACCGTGTCAGACAGATCCGACTTCAAACTCTCCGAGGAGAGTTTGAGTGTTTGAAGATGGAGGATAAGGAACAAGTATCCGAGTACATAACTCGGGTGGAGAAGGTGGCTAACCAACTAGGAAGGAATGGGGAGCCAATGCCAGCAAGTAGAATTGTGGAGAAAATCTTGAGATCATTAACAGATGATTTCGAGAGTATTGCATGCGTAATTGAGGAGTCAAAGGACTTGTCAGTTCTCTCAGTGGAAGAGCTCGCTGGGTCACTCGAAGCCCACGAACAAAGGAGGAGGAAGATGAAGAATACTCTTGATCAAGCATTACAGGCGCAACTTGATTTGAATGAAACTCGGAACACTCAGGGCCGAAGATCAGGAGGACAAGGACGAGGTGATCATGGAGGACGAGGCAAAGGACGAGGTGATCATGGAGGTGATCAAGGACGAGGTAGAGGACGAGGTGATCATGGAGGTGGACAAGGACGAGGTGATCGTAGCCAAGGAAGTCAGCCGAGGTCCGAGGTGGAATGTTATAAGTGTGGCAAACTCGGCCACTACGCAAAAGAATGCAGATCGGCAAATTGCTACAACTGTGGCAAATACGGTCACATAGCAAAGTATTGCCGAGCTAAAAGCCGAAGTGAAGAGAAAGAGAAGAATCTTCTCACAGAAGAAGAGGACGAGGAAGCAGGAATTTTGATGATGACGCAGAGCTCGGAGACCAAGCTACGTCCGAGTTGTGCCTCCGAGGATGAGCTAAACTTGAGTTGCGTGGAGAGATCAGTAGTTGAGCTTCCAAGCTCAGATGAGAAGTCAGAAGCCGAGCTTGATTCGAGTTGCTTAAACAACTCGGTCTGGTATTTGGACACTGGGGCGAGCAATCATATGTGTGGAGAAGAGAGTTTCTTCAACGAACTCATCAAGGTGAAGGCTGGATTCGTGTCATTTGGAGATGATTCCAAGGTTGCGGTAAAAGGGCATGGAACCATCAAGTTTATGCAGAAGGATGGACGAGTTGGAGAAATAAGAAATGTCTACTACGTTCCCGAACTTAAGAGCAACATCTTAAGCATGGGGCAGATGATGGAGAAAGGCAACTCGGTTCTGATGAAGGATCGAGTGCTTTATTTGAAGGACAAGCATGATCGTTTAATAGCCCGAGTAGAGATGAAAAAGAATCGGATGTATAAACTGAAGCTGAACATCATTCAAAATAAGTGTTTAAAGCTGGACGTGAAGGATGAAGCAATAATGAGGCATTCTCGTCTTGGGCATTTAAACTTTGGAGGTTTGGTCGAGCTATCAAGGAAGGAGTTGGTGCACGGACTGCGTGGTGATGAGTTTGACAAGAAGTTTTGTGAAGCGTGTGTACTCGGAAAGCATTCAAGAACAAGTTTTCCGAGCTCGTCCGAGTACAAAGCAAAGGAGCAAGACATCTACAACTCCACTGACGAGTTACATGTAGTGTGTCTATTGACAGGAACAGAAGATATAAAGTTTGAAGAGGCGGTACTTGATGAGAGATGGAAGAAAGCAATGGATGAGGAGATCGGATCAATTGAGAAGAGTGAGACGTGGAAGCTGACAGATTTACCCACAGGAGCTCGGCCAATTGGTTTGAAGTGGGTATACAAAAGGAAGACAAATGCAAATGGCGAAGTGGAGCGCTACAAAGCTCGTCTTGTGGCGAGGGGTTATAAACAGCAGAAAGGCATTGATTATGATGAAGTTTTTGCACCCGTGACAAGGATGGAAACGATTCGATTACTACTGTCCTTAGCAGCTCAGCATGGATGGAAGATACAACAAATGGACGTGAAGTCAGCATTCTTGAATGGGGTGTTGGAGGAAGAAGTCTACGTGGAGCAACCTCTAGGGTACATGAGGAGAGGTGAAGAGAAGAAAGTGCTGAAGCTCAAAAAGGCTTTGTACGGTTTGAAGCAAGCTCCTCGAGCATGGAATGAGAGAATAGACACCTACTTCAAGAGAAATGGTTATGAACAATGTCCGTATGAACATGCTCTCTATTTAAAGAAGTGCAAAGGAGATATATTGTTCGTTGCTCTATACGTGGATGACTTGATATTCATGGGAAGCAAAGCTGAGCTAGTTGAGGAGTTTAAAGAAGTGATGAAGAGGGAGTTTGAGATGACCGATTTGGGCATCATGAAGTACTTTCTGGGTTTAGAGGTGGACCAAAGAGCAACAGGTATTTTTGTGTCCCAAAAGAGGTATGCCGAGGAGATTTTGAGCAAGGCAAAGATGCTGAATTGCAATCCAGTTTCTACTCCCATGGAACCTGGAACGAAGTTATCTAAAAATGGAGAGGCTGAAAGAGTTGATGCAAGCAGGTACCGAAGCCTAATCGGAAGTCTAAGGTATCTGACAAGTACAAGACCCGACCTGATGCTAAGTGTGGGAATTGCAAGCCGCTTTATGGAGGATCCGAGGTATTCTCATTGGAAAGCATTAAAGAGGATACTAAGGTATGTGAAGGGGACGATGTCACTTGGACTGTGTTTCACTAAGTCGGACAACTACCGACTTATTGGGTACTCGGACAGTGATTGGTGTGGAGATGTGGATGATCGGAAAAGCACAGCTGGGTACGTATTCTTCATGGGAAACTCGGCTTTCACTTGGCTATCAAAGAAACAACCAATCGTAGCTCTATCAACGTGTGAAGCCGAGTATGTAGCAGCATCTTGGAGTGTCCAACATGCAGTTTGGCTTAGAAACTTGCTAAGCAAACTGGAAATTATGAAAGCTGAGAAAGTGTTGATCCGAGTAGACAACAGGTCGGCAATCGAGCTAGCCAAGAATCCAATCAATCACGAAAGAAGCAAGCACATCGACGTCCGATTTCATTTCATCAGGGAAAAGGTGAAAGAAGGAAGCGTGGAGCTCGAACACGTAGGAAGTAAAGAGCAGGTAGCCGATATCTTTACAAAACCATTGCCGACAACAACATTTCAGAAGTTAAGAAAGTTACTCGGAATGAAAGAAGAAGGAGAAATTTAAGATTATGGGGGAGTTTTGTTGGAAAATCTTAAATTTCTAGAGATTCCGAGATATCCGAGATATCCGAGATATCCGATTTAAGTTATCTGGAATTATTTGATTTATCTTTTGAGTTATTTTGTTTCAGATTAGATAAGATAGTTTTTTGATAAGTTTTGATTTGATAAGATATTTTATTATCTTCTTGTTAGTTCAGTACGTTGTAAAATGGCTATTTAAAGGCCATCTCTTATTAAAAAAAAAATACAGTGAGTTGCTACGTTCACCCACAACATTAGTATTACCTCGTCTCTCTTATTTTTTCTACAAATTGGTATCAGAGCTTTATGCTCTGAGTGCCGAGTGTGAGAGGAAAATAGTGTGCGCCTGTGAAGGGGAGGAAAGAAGAAAGAGAGAGTAATGGCGAAGGTTGTTAATGGAATGACCGTACCACAACTGTCAAAGAAAACCAATTATGATAATTGGTGTTTACAGATGAAGACCCTGTTGGGTTCCCAAAGTCTATGGGATATAGTGGAGAAGGGGTTTCAAGAACCCGAGGAGGACGAAGACCAATCTGTGGCTCAGATTGCCGCATTGGAAAAGACACGAGTGAAGGACAAATCGGCTTTGTATTTTTTGTACAATGCCGTGGATGAGTCAGGCTTCGAGAAGATTGCAAACGCTGCATCTTCAAAGGAAGCATGGAAGATCTTGGAGGTTGCGCACAGAGGTAATCACCGTGTCAGACAGATCCGACTTCAAACTCTCCGAGGAGAGTTTGAGTGTTTGAAGATGGAGGATAAGGAACAAGTATCCGAGTACATAACTCGGGTGGAGAAGGTGGCTAACCAACTCGGAAGGAATGGGGAGTCAATGCCAGCAAGTAGAATTGTGGAGAAAATCTTGAGATCATTAACAGATGATTTCGAGAGTATCGCATGCGTAATTGAGGAGTCAAAGGACTTGTCAGTCCTCTCAGTGGAAGAGCTCGCTGGGTCACTCGAAGCCCACGAACAAAGGAGGAGGAAGATGAAGAATACACTTGATCAAGCATTACAGGCGCAACTTAATTTGAATGAAACTCGGAACACCCAGGGCCGAACATTAGGAGGCAAAGGACGAGGTGATCATGGAGGACGAGGCAAAGGACGAGGTGATCATGGAGGTGATCAAGGACGAGGTAGAGGACGAGGTGATCATGGAGGTGGACAAGGACGAGGTGATCGTAGCCAAGGAAGTCAGCCGAGGTCCGAGGTGGAATGTTATAAGTGTGGCAAACTCGGCCACTACGCAAAAGAATGCAGATCGGCAAATTGCTACAACTGTGGCAAATACGGTCACATAGCAAAGTATTGCCGAGCTAAAAGCCGAAGTGAAGAGAAAGAGAAGAATCTTCTCACAGAAGAAGAGGACGAGGAAGCAGGAATTTTGATGATGACGCAGAGCTCGGAGACCAAGCTACGTCCGAGTTGTGCCTCCGAGGATGAGCTAAACTTGAGTTGCGTGGAGAGATCAGTAGTTGAGCTTCCAAGCTCAGATGAGA